TTTACAATTGTGATTAGCAAGTTAGCGCCGGTCTCAAGTGCCTAGTGGAACGGCGCCGCCCTTGAGATTTTTTCAAGTCGAGGGTAGTGGAACGAGGCCCATAGTTTACTAGTCTGTGTGACAGTCGAAGGCGGGAAACGAACGCGATTCAGCATGTGCGTTTGCCGCCTGAGTCTAGGTCCGCTACTCTTCTCTCTGTGCAAAACCATCGTGCATATAGTGCAGAACATGGACAGATACACCTCCACGATTTTTGTTATTTTATTTTTTCAAAGTCGACCACGATTTTTGCCTTTTTGCACATCCACGGTAGTGGGACGAGGCACATTGTGTGGAGTTGGGCGTCGCTCCACTACTCTCGACACGCACAAAAGACAAAAAATTGTGGCAGTGTATAGCAGAAGATTCACTCTCGTTTTGCACATTTCGATAGTAGTGGAGCGAGGCCCTTTATTGGATGGACCTCCTTTGGGTGTACCAACTGAGGGCACACTTACAGTAGCACTATCCTTAATGTATCTGACGGCGTTTACAGCCGGACCTGTATGCATCTGCCCGCAATTCCGTCCATACATAAGTAACAACTGCTAGTGTGAGTATGCCCTGGGCTAGAGCAGTTGGTGGGACAGCTGTGTTCAGCTGAGAAGTATTGGAGAGAGAAAAAGGGGAGACAGTATGACTGAATCTTCAGCTAGAACATGGAAAGATACACCGCCATGCTATTTGTCATTTGTGCATGTCCACTGGCCAATTGCGGGCCGAGGGCCATAAACAGCCTCGGAGTAGCCCTCAGACTCGCTGTAGGTGAGGAGAATAGCCGTGAGACTCGCTGTAGGAGAGGAGGCAAAAGCGAATAGTATTCTACACCAGAAAAAACGAGGTTAGTATACTACACGGTATTCCCTCTCCCTTTCTATCCCTCTCTGTAACGGGAGTGAGGCTGAGGGTGAGCCGAGGGAGAGGAGAGAGAGAGGGAGAGAGTGAGAGYACACRCACACACTYACTCACTCGACACGACGGACTCGGACTGAGGGTTGGACGCAGACACAGTGGCAAGGCACAAAGTCGAAGTCTTGGATTCCCAATGCCGAAACGGCAAGTCACACTGAGTACAAGTACAGCAGCAGAGAACTGGTGGTCCCCGTACCGTACGGGGAGCCGGTATAAGTACCGGTGACACGTACGGTACCAGGGGCATTTCTGCAAAGGCCCCGAGGGCAGAACTGAAAAATGCAGTATTTGAAAGTGGCGCCCGAATTGCAGCATGGCGCCAGTTGTCCAAAATCCTACGGTACCAAAAGGAGGGGTTTGGAAAAGGGGTGCCAGGCCGAAAACGGGATGCAGCCGAAACAGCAAAAGATAGACCAGGGATCGAGCCCTGGCGAAGTCCGTAACACTCTCCCTCCATTCCACACGGGACTTCTAAAGCAACTAAGAACCAATGACAAAAGGGAGCCTTATGGCTCCCTGCCCTAAATGGCGGGATGCATAATCCCACCGTCTGTTGAAAATACAATCGACAGTTCCTAACAGTCCCACACCGACACACGGACTAGTAAACTATACTATTCGCTGGCATGTGGGCCGAGGCTCCCGTCCACAAAAAAAACGTCCAAGAAATCGACCGAAACAAAAAAAATTTGGGCGGCCAAGGCGTTGCTTCACCTGGTCAGGCCGTTTGAGGCCATCCCGCACATCCGGTACAACCGGTACCTTTTCCAGCAAACGGTCTGGACTGCAGGCCGATCACCACCACGGTCGGCCCAGATCTCAGGCCGATGAGAAAAGTTTCTCGTCAGCCTAAGATCTGTGCTGTCCGCGGCGGTGATCGGCCTGCAATCTGGGCCGTTCCTTATGTCGCTAGGGGTTTCTATAGTATTGTAGATGTAGATGTACATGTAGATGTAGACTTTTCCAGCAAACGGCCTGGATTGCAGCCTGATCACCACCACGGCTGGCCCATATCTCAGGCCGATGAGAAAGGTTTCTCATCAGCCTAAGATATGTGCCGTCCGCGGCGGTGATCGGGCTGCAATCCGGGCGGTTCCTTATGTCGCTTAGGGGTTTCTTTAGTATTGTAGATGTAGATGTAAATGTAGATGTAATTCCAATTGCAGTCGGACCTGGATGCACCTGGGTGCAATAGAGTCTGGAAACCAGTCCAAGAAGTCCGGGTCTGAGTGTGCCCTCACCCTCCATTTTGGTATATGCACCTGGGTGCAATAGAGTCAGGAAACCAGTCCAAGAAGTCCGGGTCTGAGTGTGTCCTCACCCTCCATTTTGGTATACGTATGCTAAGTGTGTCCTGGCATCTTTAGTGTATATTCCTCACGATTTGAGGTTTCGTCAACATCAATGTTATGATC